AAATAAAAGGAAACCGTGATGATGATATGTGCAGGCCTTTCCATGACAGGGAGAGAGACCTCTTCGCCTTGGATCTTGCTTCACACCGATGTAGTCACAATCAGAAAGCATAGGTTCCACAATGTTAGTAACTGACAGGTCAGGTGTGCTTTTATTCCTCATCCTACTTTTGCGAGTGTTCGACTTCACTTTCCTGCCTTTCGCATTCAAACCGGGATTGTGAATTCTGATAATCATTCTTTCAATTTCTTTGATAGCAGTTCCTTCCCCGAACCAGATCGGGATGGGAAGGTAATGATAAAAACCTGTTTTTCGAAGCCATGTATGTACCTTCTGCTTGCTCGCTCCTCTGATTGCACGTATGTGTTCAGCCCATTTTTCCTTGAGCGCTCGTATCGTTTTCCCAATATACACCAATCGGTGGTTGAGGGACATTAGAACGTACACACAGCTGCATGCAGACAATTCACAAGTCGATAGCTTGAGCCAAAACCGTACGTATGCTTTACCCAGGCAATCTCCCCTCTAAGACAAGCAAGGAGGATAATTAGGAGGTGAATCCTGTCAAAGATTAAAGCTACCTCACTTCCAACATCCTTCTTCAAGCGTAAGATCCGGTGAGCGGCTCGCTGGAGGGAGAGAGGCGGTTAACGGAGGCCCTAATTTTCAGACAATTTGTCATGCCATTTAACCACGTGTGCCCCAATGGGGCCTTCTAGATGCAGAGCCAACCAAGGTGATGAAGATGGCATCCACAATAGCCAGGTAAGTACCTCTGGCGCTCCCCCTTCAGTCCTCTTCTTCCTCCTCCACCAACCCAAGCTCCTCCACCATAGCCAAGGTGGGGAGCTGGGCACTCCTTCCCCAGCAGCGCTGCTTCACCCAGCGAGGGCACTCCTTCCCCAGCAGCGCTGCTTCACCCAGCGATGCTCCAGCCAGCACTCCAGCGGTGTGTTCGCCAAACTTGCACCCGCAGAATGAGGAGGAGCACTTCGTTCCTCCTGGAGATATAGCGGCCTGGTTGCCTCTTGGGTGGTGACTTCGGGGCCGCGCAGCCTCCAAGCAGCTGGTACCTCCTCCCTTTCGGAGGGAAACATCATTGCAGACTCTGATATTGCCCATACAGGCCCTAAACTCAGACTACTTGGACTGGAACCCGCCTAGACGTAGCCTGCAACAACTGGGCCTCTAAAAATGTCAACTTTTGTCTTCTTTTGCTTGGTCTCGACTACCCGACACATCCACCACTACTTGGTGTGGTACCGGCCCACCTGCTACTTGAGTGTCTTTCCCCGCTGCCGCAGGCCTACTCCCAGTAATTGAGTGGTTTCCCTGCAGCAACCCTCAATGTCACAGCCATAGGTAAGTACCGGCCCTTCGGGCCTCCTGAACGAACAACTACCCTTGTGGGTCACACACGCACTCAAGCCGACAAGCGCTCAGACAGGCACGCATAGCAACAAGCACGCACACACACAGGCTTAGGCAGCTCCATGGGATAACGGAGCCCCTGACTGACAACTGAAATGACCACAGCCCTGGGAACAACGATCGAAAGTCTCTGTGTTGCAAGATGTATCAATGGGACGCTGGACCCGGTTTCCAGCAGGTGACGCTCCCCACCAATAGATGGAGCAGCCCGGCAGATAAGCCCTCGATTCCGACGGTTCTCTTACCACCGCCGGGATAGAGAGCTTACACAAGGGCTATTCTTGCAAAAAAAAAAAAAAAAAAAAAAAAAAAAAACACAGCAACAAGTGGGAAACTCGACACTTCATACATTCCATTGGCAAAACTCAGAAATCGGCTGTGGGGCTCGTTCGACACTCCTTGGGGCGTCCTCGGGGCCCAAGGAAGTTTCCTTGGGGGTTTTCAAGGAAATTCCCGCCATCGTCCCACCTGTCCTCGGGGACGTCGCCCGAGGACATTTCCTTAACGATGTCAGAAAGAAAAAAGAAAAGAAAAAAAAAATCAAATGTGTTTGAGGCCTTCAGCCAATAGGGTGCCACCACGATCCAGATTCTCGGTTGTAACGTCTCTCTACCCATGTGCCCGCTCCTCTCCGTGAAAAGCGGATTCCTTTTGCCCAAGGGACCACGAGGTCCCTTGGGGAGGTCCCTTGGGGAGGTCCCTTGGGCAAAAGGAAGAAATGGCTGTGGAATCCTCGGAGCCCAAGGAATTTCCTTCGGAGTGTTTTCACTTTTTTTTTGCAGACTGCATCCCTGAGGATAGGTGGAACGAACAATTCCTCGGGGACTTTACGCGCCCGAGGAGTGTCGAACAAGCCCCTGTGTCTCAGTCCGTGTTTGGCAGGTCCTTACATTTGTTCTTTTTTTAAGGTTAATTCTTATAAGCCGAACCAATTCAATTACCTGTCAAATCTGGACAGGACCCCCGAGCGCCATTGAGCAGACTGCTGATGTTCGTAGGGGGAGGGGACCGGAGGGGAGGTGCAGCGACTGGCCCATCGAAGAAGCTCGGTCCTGATGCTACCGGCTGAACCCTGGCCGGTATTGCCCACCTGCAGGTCGGGTGCAGATCCTGCATGTTACCTCGGGCTGGTTGCTATGGGGCTCCCCGTAATACTATAACAATAATAAAAAGGTCCTGACATTTTTCATTTTCCTGAAGGTTATTGAAAAAAATCTTTGACATCCATAACCGCCCACATCCATAACAGCCGGCTTCATATTTTGCCCTTGAAAAAAAAAAAAAAAAAAAAAACCCTTATATTTTTTGGGGTCCTCAGCAGTGTGACTACCTGCAGTCCAAGTGGACACGCTGCGACTCTGTCTTTTCTGCTTGGAGTCGGTCTGTGTGGCTCACACGGGACCTGATAACCCCAATTAGCAATACCAAACGCAAAAAAAATCGCAAACATTTTGTTTTCTAATTTATAAAATGCCAGGAAATGGGCCTGGCGTCCCTCACAAAACTTCCGTGGTCCATCGGTCAAGCCCAAAAACAGGGCCAGCACACACCACAAGACCCCATGTTGAAAAAAAAAATATTGCTAAAGAAAAAATTGAAAAACGAAGAGGAAAAAGAAAGCCCAGCTTCCAATACTCCTACCATCTACATGGGTCCAAAAGAGGACAAACCCTGACCATTGTTCACAGCCAGGAGGCTGCACTTGTGTGGGTTGCATTTTCGTCGTTTCATGTTCGCAGCCCGCAGGGGCTGCTTTTACCGCCCTTGACTTTTCTCGTTTTGTGTCGAGCAGCGTGGTGGTCGTTGGGCGCATACCGGTAGGCGGGGAGCGTGATGGTAGTTGGGAAGCTGGCAAGAGAGGTGGTAAAGGGGTGGGGAATCTGTCTGGGACCGGAATTTATGGGCGGCACCCAAAATTCTGAGGGCAGGCCACTGGCGACCCATTGCTTGTGTGGATGGGTCTGGGAGGGGTTCGTCGGCTGTTTTTTTTGCTTTTGATTCGCCCTTTTTATTTTTATTTTTTTGCTGTCAGTAGCTTCTCCGTCTGTGGGATTCGTGGATCGGATTGGATGTAACCGTGGCATCCCTCCGCTACTCAGGGAGAAGGAATTTCCCGCTAGAACCTGGGTAGATTCACTGCCATGTTTTCTGTCTTTCATACAAGTGGTTGTACAAGTGGTCGGTAGTGAAGCGAGGTCCATCATATGTCCTTGGTACAGCTGGCGGATGTATCTGGCTGCAGTCAACGGCGATGTTACATCAGGTCACCAGCAAAAAAAAATATGTTTTTTTTTTCCCTTTTGCTGGTGACCTGATGTAACGTCATCATATGCCGTTGTTACACCCCTGGGGCCTCGTCCCAGTTGAGCCAGCTCAACGGTGTGAGACACCAGAAAGCCTTTTTAAAATCGAAAACAAATGGAAACATAAATGAAAATGGCATTTCTAGTATTATTGTGTTTTTTTTTTTTTTGCAAATGTTTTGTATATCGTGGGCATGTCATTATGACGACTCCCTACAAAAAAGGAAAGTTCTGTACATGTACCTGGACCCCAGCTGCGACCCCACCCATGTTCGCCCTTGTGCAGCGAAGATCTGACTTATGTGACTTGCGAGATCGGCCTGTCGGTTCGTAAAAGGGGCGTGTGTCAGCCCGAACTTGACGGAAGGCCTCAAAACGGTCTGACACCTCGCAATGATGACGAAAGCAAAAAAAAAAAAACGTAATGCAACGAAAAAAAGAGCACGGAGCGTTGAGCTAGCTGTCTCCTTTTTTCGAGACAGCTAGCTCAACGCAAACGGCGAAGGGTAGGGGGCGTTGTAAACGAGGGGTTGGATTTTTGGAGGCATTTCCCGACACCAAAAAATGACCAGTTTGGAGGAATACAACACATAACTAAAGTCGACCGCTGGATGTTCACAACACCTGCCATCCCTGGCGTCGCCCTGAGTCGCACGTAATAGAAAACCCAACGCTGAGCTAGCTCAACGGTGCTAGTGGGACGAGGCCCCTGCGCCTTGTTACACCCTGGGGGCCTTGACCCAGTAGCCAAGTATATTACGATGTGTGACGTCTTTTTTGGATTTCTTTCGAGTTTTCTATTAGTTATTTTAATCGAAAAAGAAAATAGACGGGTTTTCTTTTTTGCACAACTTTTTGGCGCAAGCCTGTCAGGATCCCCGACTTTTGAGGGAAGCCTGCAATCCCGACGCTCGCTTCTGCTCACACTGCTTCACATATGTGTGGTGGCCGGGCTGTATCGGCTGAACGTTGTTGAACGAAGTGTCCTTGCACATTCTGTGGAATGTGGAAACAGGGACTTTTCCTGTCGCTTGCCCGTGGCTGGCGTCGGGTCCATTTCGGCCATGTTGTATAGCACTGCTCTTTTCGATAAGTTGGTGCCATTACGTGTTCGTTTGGGTCGTGCGCGGAAGTTGCTTGAGGGCGGCCTGTGCTCCCGCCTCCATTGGCGTGTGGTACGAATAGGTTCATTGGAG